CCCTACACATGCACTCAGAGCAGTCTTGAGCACAATTACTGCTTCAGCTGCATTTTAACAAGATTACATTAAAAGTTATTTGAACTTTTATTTTGAGCAGAAAGGGAAATACAAGGTCAATTGCTTGCTTGCCTCTCCTCTCAGACCTTTGTTCTCTATTAGTACCTCTTAAATAGACACACTTCACTTCTGATCAGCTGGAAGCAGTGCATGCCATTCAACACAGCAGCTTCCTCACAGGAGGAGAACGAAGGCACTTGTTTTTTGACAACTCCACTGAAGGAAGCACCTTCTCTGAAGTCCTCGGATCTTCATCAGTCTCCAGACACAGACACTGGGGCATAGAGTGGGTCTCCCATTATAAAACTGAGTCAGGCTGTGTTGGAGCAGTGCAGGGCATGAGCATCGAGCTCAGAAGATCCCCTGGAGAACATTTAGCTTCAGTGTGTTAACTGTAAGAAATACTGGTGTAAGTAGCTCAGCCAAGCTCAGCGGGTGACGTGAGGGAAGCAGTCTCTCAGGGCAGGTCAGAACCCCGGTGACATTAGGCAGAATGTCTCATTCATGGCACAAATTACCCATTTTGAGTCATGAGTGTGGAGCATTTCCTAAAGCAGCTTCTTGTTGCTTCAGACTTTCATAATGACTCTGTCCCCAAATAGCACTACAGGCTTCCAGGAGCAGAGATAAAATGTCTTTAGGGAGTCACAGAGCTACACAGAGTGAGATGAATCTTTTACTTTGCATCCCTGCAGGTGGCTTCTGTCAGCAAGAATTAGTCAAACATTTTTACCCTTCTGTTACAAGTCACTTGCAGTCTTTTGTCTCAGCACAAACTACTTCCTACCTGGTGATCTGTCTCCAGGATGTTTTAGGGACTGAAGAGTGCAACTACCCCCTAGGAGCTGCCGCTTGGGTTAGGCAGATGGTGCCAGTACCACTTTGCTCCTCTCACCATGCCTGCTCCAGAATTTCTGAATTCCTCCTCCAGCACAGCTCCCTTCAACACAGGGCTGCTCAGGACTGGGATCTGTTTTCCCCTCAGGCTCCTCATCTGCAGCAGCTGCAGATCCCTGGCAGGGCTGCAGAGCACAGCCAGGTTTCACCCATCTCTCATGGGAACATCTTGAGTGAGATAAAGCCCACAGCCAAAGTGCTCAGACACTACTGGTAGGTGAAAGAGAACAGGTTCTCTTTTTCTAACATTTACTCCAACTTACAGAAACTGTTGCAGGTTCCACTTTCACACTGAAGAGCTTAAAACTAACAGCAGGGATGCTGATCTACATTTTCCAGGGGGATCCTGGAGCCCCTAGCCCAGCAATACTGACAGGAACTCTGTCAGAACCAGCAACACATCTAAACCAAGAACTTCTCTCCAAGTACCTTCCCCACTTCTACCTGCTCTTCAGCCTCCACACCTATTTTTCAGTGACTGAATTTAGGCAGTTTCACCTTAAGCTTTCAATCTTTTCTCCTCTAGAGGCCCCAGGATGCAAGACTGAATGAGTACACTTTTTCAGGAAGAAACTTTCATATTGACATGGGCAGATGACCATTTTCCCCTCCTATTCCTGTGCTATTATTCCCTGATACACACATATTTTGATGTTTAAAAATCATCTTCTGGATGATATTCTTTTTATGTTTAAGACCAGATCAGCACAGATGAAACTAAAGTAGGGAGAACTTTAATTACATATACATTATATATACATATTGTATATTAATTACATAATCAAGTTTAATTATAATTAAATATAATTATAATACCTACTAATCCTATTTAGAAAAGTCAAAACCAATTTTAAAACCTACAGATTTACAGCAACATATATTAGAGGCTGTGCATGGAATGGTCTGCCCCACCAAGAAGATTTCTGCTGAGGAAGTTACACATCCATCTGGAGCAGATATTGACTCTTTAAACACCATTTGTTTTACAGCTTTTATTTGTTTCATATAATCACTGGTTACACTGTCATTTTTCCTTCATGTCTGAACATCCATTTGTTTATAAGCTGCAAGGCTTGCTGGTTACTGTCGTTGCAGTCAATTTTTTATCTATATAACTAGAACCAATTTTATTGTTGTCTTCCCAAAACAACTTCTCTGCTCCAGTTGGTCCTCATTAACCTGCAATTTCCTCCCATGCATCCTTCCCTTGCAACCTAAGCTCTGTGCCAGCCAGGGTCCCTCATGCAGTAGCACTTCTCACACACCCATAACATGTTACAGCTCCTCAGTGCTGCTGTTCCTTCCCAGAGGCTGCAGCACAGCCCACCAGCTTTGCAGAGAAAGCAGAAAGTGAACAAGGCATCAGAGCTCCTGAAGCACATTCTTCAGATGATTCAGTGTTGCACAGTTGATCAACAGGACTATACAACCTTCCACTCCACAATACTTAGATGAAAATGAGGCCAGAGATTGTGGTTTGCTGGTTTTTATTTTCTATTTCTTTAATATATTATTTGTATTCTAGCTAATAAAGTAGACATAAAGCTTAGAAAACGTGGTCCTCAGAGGTTAATTTATAAAGATACAAATACATTTATTTTGGGATTAAAAGTTTCCTTTGGCAAACTTGCTCCCCAGAACGAGATGGACTTGGATTAACTACAGCAAGTAGTTTGTAAATCCCAAGGTGACTACAGGGAGGCAGTGAGAAGATGTCAAGAAAGCATTTGGTCTTGAGAAGCCTAACAGGAAAATCTTATCCTTGTCCTCAACTATCTAAGATGAGAGTACAAGAGAATTCAGAGACATTATTCTTGAGGATGCACAGAGAAAGGACAAGAGGACACACACACACAAGCTCCACCTGGGAAATTCCAGCTGTATATTGGAAAAAAATCTGCAATCATAGTAGTCAAACATTAGAACAGGGTTCACAGAGGTGAAGGATCTCCATCCTTGAACAAAGCCCTAACCCTGACTTAAGCAGGGCTGTTGGACTAAGTAACCTCTCCAGAGGTCCCTTCCAACCTATCTTCTGTGATGAAATACAAACCTTTGCTGTAAAGACCCACTGGAAGCAAAGTATTTTTAATTATAATAACCAAAATAGATACACAATAATGTGTATTCTACATATATCAAGGAAAAAAAACCCATACTGCATTTCAAAATTCATTTACCGCAATAACAGAGGCAAATAGTCTAGTAAGGTAAGTCACTAGAATTAAGAAATGACACAATTTGCATGTAAGTTGAAGCCAGAATAAAGCTACAGAAGCTCAGTATTCAGAGACATGGATTCAAAGGATTTCACAGGAGCCAAGAGATCTCAATTTCATTACATGGAAACAAGAGTCTGGACTGTGGACCTGAATCTAGATTATTATCTAGTACCCATAAGTTTCAGGATCATCTATTTACATTTACTGGCTTGAGATATTAAAGTGTAAAGTCAGAGTAAATATTTTAATTCTCACAAATGCAGCCTAGTTGCACTAAAATTACCTTAATTATCAGACCAAAGTATTATTTTTAAATTGATATTCATTTCAGGAGATGTGAAATGTAACAAACTTTTAACATTTTCAGAGTCAAAGGTTCCTTTTTACTTAAAAAAAACAAAAACAAACCAACTCACAGAAAAACTCTTAACAGAGGCTTAAAAAAAGTCTTTATAAAATAATCTTCATCACACTTACAATAGTAAGAAAATTATTCTGATTGCTAGTTTTTAGTAAATATGAACTTGTTTATGTATTCAAGACATTTATTTTTAAAAGGTGGCCCAAAAGATGTGTCAAGAAAAGCAGATTACTGCTGTTTCTCCAGTTTTTTTCATAAGGACACTGTCTTGATAAACAAAGCATGTTTGACAGCCAGCTGAGATAGGACAGCTAAAGGAGAGAAGTAATGATCTGCATGCCAGCAAAATCTTCCTTGGCAATCACTTGAGATTGGCAACTGTACAATTAAGCTGATTTAATATCAAAATTGTGTCACTCCTTCCATCTCTTGAATGACAGTACTGACCATCTCAAAATTTAAAAGTTTGCTTGAAGTACACATGAAGGTAGAATTGGAGCAAGTTCTGGACTGGTAGAAAAAAAGTCTGATGTTTATCCTGTCATCTGGTATTTTCATCAGCAGTTACCTTCATCATCATCACTATGAAAATACTAGATGTTCTTCAGAGCATTTTTCACCAGGTCTGCTGGAGCAACAACCGCAGCTGTGCGGAGAAAACAGAACATGTACATATGGAAAATATAAAATTTATCAAGCTTTTTATCCCTGTAGTAGTACTAATAAAATTATATATGCCAACATTCCATTTCAAAAGGACATAAATAGATCTAAAAATCCACACATATTTTTCACACATTTTTTAATAGAATAAGCTCCAGAAATAGATTTTTTGTGGACACAAATTGGCAGTCACAATTACAACCAGAAAGTGCTCACAATGACTGTTCATAGGATGTAATTCACTATCCATTTTTAAGTAGCTACTAGATTTTTTAACTTACAGTAATAAATTTTCCTACTCTATTTAGAGAAAGAAATAAAGATGCAATAGTTTCTACATCTGAGCTTTAATGTGCCAGCCCATTCTGCTCCCTCACGGGAACCTCTAAGAAGAACTGTAAAAATAGGAATAATATAGACAGTGTGTAGCGACTTAAACAAATCTCATCATCCCAGTGGCAGATACTCCTGTGAATCTAACAGAAAGAAAAAGATTATAAGGTGGCTACACTTTCCCAAAGAGGGAAAAAATTCTCACTTGCTAGAGCAAATTAAACACACCTTAGATTTTTCAGTTTCCTTTCAACCAAGTTACCAAAACTGATACAGGAAATCAATTTTCCAGTGCATGTGTTAAAGTTGTCCCAAGCACATCTTTACATTAAATCCTCTGTTATTGTTTTACAAAGAACAGCTTCAAGATGATCTGGAAGAGCTAAATCCAGTTACTCATACAAAATAAAAGTAGAACTCAAAAGAGTTTTTCATACAATTGGTACTATTTTGTCAGTGAGTAGAAGGAAATAGATATTGGTAAATATTCACCAAATTTTAAGTGCAACCAATTTTCTCATACGAAATTTAAATTACCTATAGATGTCAAGGAACACAAAACCCTCCCAAGACAGAACACTACACAAACATGCTCTGCAGCAGATGCTGTGCATCAACACTCTCCTTTCTTTGCTTTCAAAAGTCATCCTCCATATGATAAAGCACAGTGGTCACCTTAGAGCCTCTTCTGCTTTTAAGAACAACATTTGGCCAACTCCCTCCATCTCTCCGAAAGAAAACATTCAGCTAATTCAGACCAGGGATCAAACTGAACATCCAGCTCCTCCCTTAGCTTGACTCTGTTAATTTTTTATCTATTTTTATCTCCAAAATTAACACAGACCCCAGGAGATGAAAGGGACCTGCACTGGCCAACAGCACCATAAGGATCAATATTCCTGAGAAGAAGTGAGCAGGCTAGTGAATCCTGCCTCTTCCCCTCTGCTGAAAGTCAACACCATGAAACTGAACTGGACAGGAAGAGGTAGTAGCTCTGCACAGCACAGCAGGGAAGTGGTCAGGTCCCAGCATTCAAATCAATTAACTCAAAAATTATGAAGAGGGAACCCAGAGCTACCTTTGGCATTTACTCTTTTCCTTGAGAAGCCCATAAACAGAAAGAGACTGTTTCTTCAGATAATGTACTTTTAGATAGGTAAATGGATGTTGCTGCCACAAGCACTACTGGATAATCCATTGCTACCTTCATGCTGCCACACTTCACATTTGAAGGTCTTAAAAGAAAAAAAAAAAAAAGGAAAAAAACAACAACAACAAAGCAAACCCATGCCAACCCTACCTGTCAAACACTGGGGAGAATTTTCCTTTTCCCTACTGCCAGACTTACACAGTAGGACTGTACACAACATATGGAGAGGCATTTCTTCTCACATAGTAAAGATCCTGGTCTTGCAGTGTGCAGCCTTCCTAAGAGACCATCCGTCATCACATGCATACCCGTGGGCTCTGTCTGTCCTCCCATCTAAGCCTCTAGAATCTGTATCCAAATTTCAAATGCTGTTCAATCAAGCCAGTGCTGAGAGGAGTTCTGAGCAGTTCCTGATGGTATTATGACTACACAGACACCCCTGTGTTTTGTTGCATGATATCCTGCTAAAACATCCTCCAACTGTAGAGTTCTCAATGAAAAATACAATTATCCCAGTGTCTGCTGAGCCCAAACAACAAACACACTTCCAGCTTTGTGATGATAAAATAAACACATCACATCCCCTGCAGTGAAAGTTCTCTCTGTTGCAATAAACTTCATGTGACTTCACCCTAAGTGCTGAAACTCAGAGAAATAAAATTCTGTAACTATGACTTCAGAGTCTGCATAAGCCATTGTGGTAAGTGATACACCACTGCCAGAGCTGTGCAATCACTGCTGCCTTTTTATTATTCTTTAGCTGTCCTTCAAAAAAATGCATTTGATCAGCTATGACATTTCATTTTAAAAAAGAGATGCTATCAACTGACCATCAGAAGCATTCTGTTACAAAAGACTACTAAAACTGCATGGTAGTAAAGATATCTAGAATATTTCTGTGAAATGTCAAGTATGTCTCTTCATACTGGGTATTTATGTACCTTGACATTATCAGCTCTTCTGGAAAATGGAGAAATACTTCAGAAACCATCCTGCTGTACAATCCCAAAAAGGCAATGTGTGTATCTCTTCCTCCTTGCCTCTCAAAAGAGCCTTTTCTATAACATCCAGCAATGCAAACTGGTGCAATACAGATCCTCAGTCAGGACACACAAACAACTCCAAATATTTTTCATATTCAAGATATTCAATTCTATTTTATATTTTATTTCCTTTCAAAGGAAACCAACTTCCGTGCTGTATCGTTTGACTTGTTCTAGTGGCATCCTTGACCTATACATCAATCGCCAAATTCTGGCACATATAGAGGTCTCATTTAGTACTTAATCAGTAACAATGTTTAACACCTTCTTAGGAGAGAACTGACTTTTTTTCCAGGCATACTTGTGCTCAACTGCAAAACCAACACTACAATTTGCACATTACAACACTGGAACACTGATGGTGTTCTTTAATCAACTGCACTCTAAAGGGAATTTCATCATATCCAATATCACAAAGCTTTCCTACACTTGAACATTCACTGACCAATTCAATTGGGAAAGAAAAATGACAGAGTTAATTTTTTTTAATTATTTTTTTTTTTACTTATTTGTATAGGTAATTATTACCCCATAGGAAACCTCTAACATCAGATATCTTTTGGGAAAGAAAGGGGGAGAAAAACTTCATGACTTTCCTTGTATGTAAGTCTAGAATACTTTTTCCCATTAAAATGACACTTTGCAGCTGCCTGCTTCATAATTTAATCTTCAAAAGGGAAAGTAAAGACATCTGAGCTGCAGTTGAATTTGATAGAAGTACTTGAGTTATATTAGGTCAAACTTACAAATGTATGCATCTATACATCAATGTTGTGGCTGTTCAGGATTTATATTCATAGTCCTGTATATTTCTTTGAGAAACAGCAAGGCAGTGTCTTCAGACCCCCTATGAATTAAAAAGAAAAAAAAGTGTTATTTTGGTATGGTCCACGTTCTAATTCATGTAAGCCACACTTCTTCTCATTCCAGCTCTCCAAAAAGTATGCACAACCTATTTGCTCTAGCACTTACCTTTCTGGAACATGGGCTTACTTCTACCAACCTCCTTTGGGCTATAATTCTTTATTAATTTTGCATGATTCCTGCCATCAGCCCTAGCTATGCAGTTACCTTTTTCTACTGTATTTTACCCCCACTCTGTCCTCCCTAATTTACTATGGCTGCAACCTGAAATCTCCTTCTCTATCCATTTCTTCCACGTTACTCATTTCACTTTAATCTCCTCAAATAATCCAACACTTTTTGTCTAGAGTGGGCTCCTGAATATATTCCACCAGAATACATTCTACTTGACAAGGCTTTCTTCTTTTACTTGCTCCACTGCATCTACTACCCCAAAGTCAACACTCAGCTTCACCAGTTTCATCAACAATATTCTAATTCTTCTCTCCTCAACTGGCTAGCATTTCCTTGAACACAGACTACAGTAAATATTCACAGGCTTCCTCTCATATGATTTAGAGATTAACACAATTCAAGTGCTATGTTTCCAAGTTGGTGTTTTTCCTCCTCTTTTCAAAAATCAAAGCTTCAGATTATCTGAACTTAAATTTAACATGACAGACTTAAGTTTTCTTACTTGCCTATGAAGTGTTACTTAAACACATGTAACCAATCCCAACATAAACGAGTAACAATAGCTCAGAAAAAATAACAAAGTTAAACAGGCAAATTTTAACAAAGTTCCAGAGCTGCAGGAGCTGTTGGATAAGGGTAGCTTTCCAGCTTTTTAAAATAAATGACACATGGAGAGAGTAAAGATTTAGACTTTCAGAACTCTGATCCTCCAGATGTGAGGACCACCATTTACAGAGTGCATTTACGTGCAAGCTCAGGGACTAGGGATATTTTTCACTATTGAGCCCAGAGACAACCACCACATTTCTAGGTGATCTCTGCTACTGCATGAGCAAGCAAACAATATTTTAGGTTTTCCCCTCCAAAAAAAATCCCAAAAACCAAACTAACCACAAAACCAAAAAACCCTCTTATATTTGGGCCATGCCTCATGGTGCTTATCTTCCTTAATTCGAATGACAAAATAAAAGGTTGAGTAGCAAGTTTTTAAGAACCTGGCAATTCTCGGCTGCCACCTTGTGGAGAAGAGCCTCCAGTTCCTTCAGCTCTACCCACCAAGCGTCACCTCCGGGTCACCGGCTACTGGGGAGTCATCAGCCTTGGCAACCCCTTCTCCAGCACCTACTGATTTTAACAATATAAGTAAAACTGACTTTAATAAGATCTGTCAGGTCATGCTTTCAATTCCATATCTTAACCTCTGGAAAAAACTCCTGCTTCTAAAATTATTAGCTACTGAAAATTAAAACCTTCAAAAACTGTCTAGAGTAACACTTGTCTAGCACCTGCTAATCTCAAAACAAGAGATTAGTATTTTGCTTACTGAAAGATATATAAAAAAGTC